CCAACCCTCAGCCCACACGTAGGATGCCTTCTTTAGCATCCCATGGAACACTGCAAGCCAGACTTTGCATTTGCATGGGAAAACTCCAAAATTGAAAGGAAAATAGAGTTATGTTGGATTATGCTCCCTCAGAGCTTTAAAAATAGCCTGACTATATTTGGGAATCAGCTTTCTAAGGAACTGGAAGGATGGCAGCAGGAACACCTGGAAGCTGCAATATGTAGATGATCTTATAGTTGCTCTGACACAGAAGGAAATAATATAATTGACAATAAATCTACATTTTTTAACTCTGTTGAATACACTGCAATCAAGAAGAAGGCACACGTAGCTTGTTGGGCTGTGATTTACCTGGGCTTTACCATCATTCTCAGCCTGCAGGTCGAGCAAAAAGAGATGATATATCAAATACAAGTGCTGAAGCTGGAACAGGAACTATGAGATTTTTCAGGTATGGATGTAGATTATGGTGTAGATTATGGATACCAAATGATGGACTGACCATGAAACCACTATATGAAGCTGTTAAAGGAGAAAGAGATATTTTGGAATGGAACCCAAAATACTGCACTGTCTTCATTCAACTGAAAGCTGCTCTGATGTCTGCTCCTGGACTTCCTAATCTGGAAAAGACTTTTGAATGATACATTCATAAAAGTTGTCATTTTGAACAACACATCAGATCATGGAAGAGACAAATGGGACATTTCTCTAGAAAATTGGACTGAGGGTGGCCATCATGTTTACGAGCAGTGGCTGTAATGGTGTTGCTCATACAGGAGGCATAAAAACTGATTTCGGGTCAGAAATTAGTGGTTCATGTGCTTGATGATCTGAGGCATTCCCAGGCTGGCAGCATCCTCAAAGTAGAATCTCTCAGCAGCACCCCATAGGACTGCAACACAGCTGTTCCCATGACATCCTCAGAGCTGGTTATAGATATCTTCATCCCAATGTAAATGAGAGTGGATTGTTCTCTGGTCTGTCTCAGTCTGGCTGGACTGGCCAGGTACCAGGCTGCCCTCAGGCACCCCAGAACTGTGAGCTGGCCCCAGTGCTGCCCAGCTGGCAGCTGGAGCTGCTACTCTCTGTTGCCAAAGGACCATGGGATGGCCCTATTCCCTGCTGGCAGTGCTGGGGTCAATGAGATATGAGTTGGCTCTGGAGCATGTATTGGTGGCAGGAAGGTCAGAAAGACACACTTCCTGGACTAAGGCCAATCCAAGGCATCCGTGCCCTTCCACCCAGACCCTGTTTCCAGCTTCTCCATAAAGATGAGGCCAACTCGCACAGACACCATAGGGCTAGGCCTGTCGGAGCAGTCCCTGGGCAGACACAGCTCTTGTGGCCTCAGATCTCCAGAGCTGACAGATGGACACCAACCTGAGTGGGATTTGCATCCCCATGGTGAACATTTCTGAAAAAAAATCACTCCTTGTTTCTGCAGAGGAGGCACTGGAAGCAGAGATGCCACTGTTCAGGGGCATCCCTGCAGCAGAAACACACAGAGAGAATGTAAGCAGTGCATGGTGCTTCTGTGTGCTGCCATGCCGCAGGATGAGAGGAGGGCTCCTACCTGAACTCAGTCCCATGAGAACCAGATGCATATGTGCTGCGCCAGGAACTTTTTTGGTACTTGATTAACATATATTTTTTAATAAAAATTATTAAAAAAAAGATTTTTTTGCTTATATAAATGAACTTTATTATGTATTTCATATGCAGTCCAAGGCAATTCTTCACTCAGTGCCATCCAGGCAAGCCAAAATGTTGGACACGTATGAGCTAAACCATGATAATGTCTCTTAAGAAAAAAAAACATTTATCTATCTGTTTAGGTTTATTGTTCCTCTCTTCTCTCTGAGTCATCATTTTTTGTAATTATTATCCTCTCTATTTGTCTGAGTCAGTAAACCAGTAATAACCTATGATATGTCATCTTACGTTATGTCATTCATATGCCAGTGTCATGAACATGGCCGGATATCAGAATGTGCAGCTTCAATTTGTTCTTTTTGGTACAATTACTGCAATGAAAGGCATTTAAATATCTCTATATATTTCCCTAAATTTCATATGCTGTGATGTTGACATCAGCTGTTAAATGAATAGGTAGGCTTATAGCATTTATGTCAATGTTGAGTTTACAATATTAAATTACACTACATTTTGAGCACACTCACAGGAGAACACCTCTGATTTTAACATGAAAACATCTGAGTAGTTTTTTTGTTTGTTTGTTTTTTGCTGTTGACTTAGTAGAACAGGGATTCATCCCTGAATTTTAGTAAGAGGACTGAAATTTAAGGAGTCTTGGAAGGAATGTGATCAAAAGAGGATGACGCATGCATCAACACCACCTACTCTGATTGTATAATTTCAATGATGAGTCTGCAATCGGTTGGTTTTTTTACAGTATATTTTCAAAAATCTAAATATCCAAAAAAGACAACTTTGTATCTGCAGTACCATCTCCTTTTATAATAATGGAAAGGATGTTCAGAGTTACTGAACTCCACAGCCAACGCTTCCTCAGAAACTGAATATGGAAAGCAATATTTAGGCAAATATTACTGAAAATGTTAGTCATGGCTAATTCCAAAATAAATTATAAAAGCTTCTTCAATCTTAAAAATTTATTAAAACTGAAAGGTGTGTTTTACAAGGTAAGCTTAAGACACTTAGCAGATAATAAAATAAATAAAATAAAAACCCCAGCAGGAGAGCAAAGTCCAAATAAAAATCTTGCAGACTTTCCTTAAGGTTGACACTTGAGTGCAGAGGGAAAGAAGAGTAGGAACAGGTACAGGTCGCTTGCTTTCACTTCCCCCACAGTTGGACAATTAGTTACTTTCTCCTGAGTGACTAATCTTGAAGGGTTCATTGCATAACTATTGCTATGCACTTTGAAACTAATCAATATATATCTAATTCTCTACATCCATTAAAAACTTGTGATTTCTATACTTTAAAATCTTGACTCCCCCTCTACTCTGCTCTTGTGAGACCCCATCTGGAGTACTGTGTCCAGGTCTGGAGCCGCCAGTACAAAAAAGACAGAAAGCTGCTGGAGAGGGTCCAGAGGAGAGCCACAGAGATCATCAGGGGACTGGAGCACCTCCCCTACGAAGACAGGCTGAGGGAGCTGGGCTTGTTCAGCCTGGAGAAAAGGCGGCTGCGGGGTGACCTCATTGCAGCCTTTCAGTACCTAAAGGGAGCCTGTAAATAGGAGGGAATCAACTCTTTGCAAGGGTAGATAACAGCAGGACAAGGGAAAATGGTTTTAAGTTGAGGAAGGGAAGATTTAGGTTGTATGTCAGGGGGAAGTTTTTTACTATGAGAGTGGTGAGGTGCTGGAACAGGCTGCTCAGAGAGCTTGTGGATGCCCCGTCTCTGAAGGTGTTCAAGGCCAGGTTGGATGGGGCCTTGGGCAGCCTGGTCTAGTATTAGATGAGGAGGTTGGTGGCCCTGCATGTGGTAGGGGGGTTGGAGATTCATGATCCTCGAGGTCCACTTCCAACCCTTGCCATTCTGTGATTCTGGGATTCTGTGATTCTGTGACTACTGAGATTTGTGATCAGAAACCAAAGCTGCATCTCACAGGAGAGCAGCTGGCTCCATTGTGATGAAAATCCCTCCCTGTAGAATAATTTAGGAACAATACTGAAGTACAGTAGTCTATGAGATTTGCTTCAGTGGTGTATGGTAACTGTTAAGTCACAGCCTGAACCACTGGTTGAGCACCCGGAGAAAGGACCAGGTCAGCCCTGGGAACACAGGTGAAGGCAATTCAACTGTGTGACTGGAAGGCGTAGAGCCTGGCTGTGCCTCTCTTAGACTTCATTTAAGGGCTGACAGCCACTGGGAAGGATCCCCAGTGGAAGTCCTTCCTTGGTGAAGCTTTCTCCTGCAAACCTGTAACCTGATACAGATGAGCCATTTTCTTCCCTTCCTTTATAGCACTTCTCTATTGTGCCAGGCCTTTTGTCATCACATCTTTGTTGTAATGCCTTTCCTGTTGTATTGATCTGTCCAATTGCTACAGGTGGGATGGCAGCACAAACAGCCGGAAGCTACATTGTGTCAGCGTGTGAATGAATTACTTATGGTGCTGATACAAGGGAGGAATTAACACAACTGACAACAAGTCTCACAAATTTTCCAAGAAGAAAGCACCAATAGCTTGTCAGTCTGTGACTTATGTTGGTTTTACCATCCCTTGGAGATACTGAAGCCTGGGGGTGAGTGCAAGGAGTCCGTACGTCAAATACCAAAGCCAAAGTCAAAACAGGAAATGCAAGTTTCGTTAGGTATGGCAGGATGCTGTAGATTATGGATACCAAACTGTGGACTGATCGAGGATCATGGAATATTGAAGTTGTGAAAGGAGAAGGAGAAATTTCAAACTGGAAACCAGAATGCCAAACAGGGTTTATTCAACTAAGAGCAGGTCTGATCTCTACTCCTGCTCTAGAGCTGCCCAGTTTGGAAAAGTCTTTTGAGTTCTATGTGCATGAAAGATGTCACACTGCACTGGGAGAGTTAATAGAACACATTGGATCCAGGAACAGACCAACAGGATATTATCCTAGACAATTGGACCAAGTAAATTTAGGGTGGGCATCATGCTTACAAGCAATGGAAACAGATCTGTGGCACTGCCCAAATGCAGGAGGAAAGCCAAAGTCCAGGCCAACCCACAGCCAGCAGCAGCTCCGGAGCTGCCTGTGTGACCAAACACAGCAACATCCCCAAGATGTCAGATACACCCCCAGAACAGGGCTGCAGCTGCCAGTCCAGCCTCCACTATGTTGCACGTTGGAAACGTTGCACCCTGCTGGAGTTGGGGCCAGAACCCATCTCAGCCTGAACCGTGCCACAGGGAGGAAGGAATGGGGTGGGTGCTGGGGGGAAGGGATCCCCGTGGTTCCAGCCCCTAAAGTTGCCCACCTCGGGAAAGGCAAAGAAGAACAAAAAGCTATGACAGTGGCATGAAGGAACTCTCAGATTTATTGTGGTGACATGATGACTGTAGCCAACACGTGGGGTTGCACACGGCCACTGCTATAGCATCAGTGAGGCCAGTGGTTTGTATTCTGGGCCTGACGTGGTACCCACGGTGTCTTTGGGGCTGGCTCTGGGACTCTGCAGCCTGATGTTTGAGAGGAGAGCGGCTTCGAGTCTGGGCCCACCCTGGTAGCCTGAACCTGCTATCAGGCACCCTGGAACTGTGATCTGGCCCCGATGGTGCCTGGCTGGTGGTGCTGGAGCTGCTGTTCTCCAGTCCTGCAGGGCCTTGGGATGGCTCCAGTCCGTGCTGGATGGTAGTGCTGCGGCCAGTGTTGTCCATATTGGTGCTGGAGGCTATAAGGGGAGGCAGGAAGGTGAACAGGACAGAAATCCAGCCCTGGGGTGGGACAGGCTCCATCCCTCCTGGACCAAAGGGACTTGAGCAAGGCCACCCTGAGCACCCGCTGCCAGGACTCAACTGACCCCAGCCCAGCACAGGAGCTGCAGAGGAGCAGTTCCCCGGGCCTGGGGAAACCAGCGGGTTGTGGCCATGATGACAAAGGTGACATGAGCCAGGGAGTGCCTGGCACAGCTCTGGGGCTCAGTCCCTGTTCCTCCAGCCTGTGGCTAGGCTGTGATCCCACGCAAAGTCCCAGAGGACTGCTGAGGTAACTCACCCCTCTCCTTGTTCCTTCTCACTGCCATGTGGGTAACGGCAATCACTGGCATCGCAGCTCCTGTACCTAACTCCCAGGGATGCACAGGCATTCTTGTACTCCCATGTTGGTCTTCTGCCAAAGAAGGGAGGTAATGTGATGAGCACTCTCTGCCCCAGGACTAAAACTAATCCATGGTATCCCTCTCCCTCCACCTTATCCCCAGTTCCTGCTTCCCAATGATGCTGAGGTCCATGTCAGTGGCTGCAAAGGGCCAGGCTTGCTGGGGCAGTCGCTGGGCAGGCACAGCTCCTGTGCCCTCACATATCAAGAGCTGGCTGAAAGACACCAACCTGAATGTGAATTTGGATTCCCGTAGTGAGCATGTCTGGAATGAACCAGTCTCTGTCTCTGCAGTGAGGGCACTGGGAGCAATAAATCCCTGTGCACATGACCTGGTCCTGCAGCAGAAATACAAGCAGCGTGAGCAGGATCTGGTGCTGATGAGCGCCTGCCAACCCCAGTGGGTAAGGGGAGGGCTCCTACCTGGATGCAGGCCTGGTGGAAACAGGCAGGAGCTTGCACGTGGCTGCTCCTGTGGCATCAGTGGGGCTGGTGGTTGGTATTCCGGGCCCGACGCGGTACCCGGGAGAGGCTTCGCTCCTGGGCTGGTCCTCGCTGCCCAGGCCGGCTCCCATGGCTGTAACCGACTGCTGGGGAGTGCCTTGAAGACTGTGATGTCCCCTGGCTGGCAGAGTTCGAGGCACTGCTCTCAACACTCCCGCAGCATCCCTGGGGCTCATCGCTCACGTCATCATTGCGATGTAAACGCAAGCAGATTCTCCTCCATTCTGTCCTGCGCTGGCTGGGCAGGACGCTGCTCTCAGACACCTTGGAACTTTGAGATGGCCTTGATGATGCCTGGCTGGTGAGACTGCAGCTACTTCTTCTCTCCGACGCTGTGGGGCTTTGGAAAGACCCCAGTCCCAGCTGGATGGTGGTGCTGGGGCCAGCACTGTCCACATTGCAGCTGGAGGCTGTGAGGGGAGGCAGGAAGGTGAGCAGGATGGAAATGGAACTCCAGCCCTGGGGTGGGAGAGATTCCCATCCCTCCAGGGCCAAAGAGACTTCAGCAAGGCCTCACCAGGCCTCAGCCCAGCGGCACATGGCTGTTTGATTCTTACAGGTGCCCTCTCCAGCACAGGTGTTGCACTCCCACGTGGTTGTGGTCTGTCTCAAATTGGAACAGCGTCGATGGGTGCCTTGCACAGCGCAGGAGCTGCAGAGGAGCAGTTCCCAGGGCCTAGGGAAACAAACGAGTTGTGTCTGTGATGGCTATGTGACCTGAGCCAGGGAGTGCCTGGCACAGCTCTGGTGCTCAGTCTGTGCCCTCCCCCAGCCTGCAGTGACGCTGCAATCCGACACAGAGCCCCAGAGGGCTTCTGAGGTAACTCACCCCTCTCCTGCCTGCTCCCTGCCGTGTGGGTAACGGCACTCACTGGCACTGCAGCACTTGCTCTTGTCTCCCTTCTGTGCATATAAGTTGCTGTCCCACATTGGTCCTCTGCCAGAGAATGGAAGGAATCTGATGAGCACCCACTTCCTCTGTGGTAAGATGGACCCAGGCCATCCCTACTCTTCCAGCCCAAGCCCATTTCTGTCTTCTGTGTGAAGCTGAGGCCAGCGCTCACCAGAGGCAGCAAAGAGCCAGGCCTGCCCAGGCAGTCCCTGGGCAGGCACAGCTCTTGTGCCCTCACACCTGGAGAACCAGGAGTGGGATACCAACCTGTGTGGGATATGGATCCCCATGGCGGCCATGTCATCAAAAAATTCATCTTCATCTTTGCAGTGGGGACAGTGCAAAATAATGCCTGCATACAGGGCCAGTCTCTGCAGCAGAAACACAAGCAGTGTGAATGTGAGCGGGGCCTGATGCTGCTGAGCGCCTGCTGTGCCCACTGGGCAAGGGGAGGACTTCTACCTGGATGCAGGTCCGGTGGAACCAGGCGCATTGGCAGGATGGGCACACCATGGTGCTGTATGAAGTGCTGTCCCCCACAGAGTCCATGCAGATGATGCAGGGCGTGTCCTGCGCTGGCACTGCCCCCACTGCCTGCTGCTGGCGGTGCTCCCAGCAGAAGCACCTGGGGGAAGATGGGAGAGAGGGGCAAGGTGACAAGCACTGTGAGGAGAGCAGAGGAACAGGAAGGAGCCCCAGGCCTTGGCTCTGGCTCTGTCCGGCTGCTGGGTGGTGTCACAGCATATTCCTCACTTCTTTGGCCGGTGCTGACAGCAGGGGTTAGAAGCCCACAGGCAAGGGCTGGCAGTCCTTACCTGAACTCTTCAAAGTACTGGGTGACACATTCACCCTCTGAAGCACAGGGGAGATGGAAGCTGCGATCACAGCCTGTCTCTGCGCAGGTGATGAAGGCTCCCCTCTTGTCACAGACGAAGCAGTGCTGGAAAGAGCAGAGCAGCCCCCATCAGTGGCAGACTCAGGGCCTATGCAGCAGGCCGCGCACCACTGGGCAGGGCACAGGATGCGGGCAGGGCTGGGTGGTACCCTGCGGAGCTGCCTGGTGAACAGGGCTCGTCTGCAAGCTCCTCCTGGAACTGGTTGGAAGGGCTGGGATTGCTTTCTTTGGACCAGGCTAAGCTCACTGAGCCTCTCCTGGCACAAAGCTCCCTGTTCGGGTCAAGTCCTCACCGTCTGCTCAGCCTGCTTGATTGCAAGTATAATGTCAGGGAGGCTTAAATTTTCTTTTCCCTCCTGTGTTCTTGCCTGTTGAAGAAGGCCGCCAGAAAATACCTTTGTGGGAGAAGAGTGGGATCTTGTTAGGGCAGAAAGGAGGGATCCATTCCTTGGAGGATGGTTGAAGGAGCCGTGAGGGAACTCACCACACAAAACTCATGGAAATAGACCCCCTTGATGATCCATTTGCGCCCATAGATGCATGGGTCAACCTCTCCCTGGGCGCACAGCACGCATTCTAGAGAGGAGAGAGTAATAGCAGTGAGTGCCTTGTAGAGCCAGGTGCCCTCGAGGGCTGTCCCAGGGGCCTACTCTGTGCCGGCAGTGCCAGCTGAGGGGGGCCAGAGGCCTGGAGGGGAAGGAGCACTGCAGGCCCAGCGGTGCCAGCAGGCAGCCACAGCTCAACAGCGGCCGCCCTGGCTAAGGAGCAGAGGGGCCCTGCCCATGGCAGCTGGGGTGCCCCTGCATGCCCTCGCCTCCCCTCTCCACTGCAGGCAGACCCCCAGAACTCCTCTGCCTGGTGACGAGGAGCTGCGCGCAGGGATAATTTACTTTCACCCGGCTCCCATGAGCCAGCAGGCTTCTTTGTCCCCATGGACGTGGTGCACGTCGACGGTGAGCACTCGCAGAGTCTCTGTCCCAGTAGCACTGGGCTTTCTCCTCCACACGCTCCTGTGCCAACCTATGGGAGAAGCGGGATGAGGGTAAGTTCGCAGCTCAGGCCCCCAGGTGCTGGGGCCCCCTCCTCCTCCCTCGGCAGCCTCAGGTAGCCCCTTCCTCCCTGCTCACCTCACCAGGTCAGACTGAGTTCGGCCCGAGCCCCTCAGCCTTAGCTCTGCTCCACACCCTGTGGGTCAAAATGGCCGTTCCGTGCCACCCTCTGTGACATCATCAAGCCTCACAGGGGGTGAGGGTGTGGCCCGGGGCACCCAAGCAGGAGAGCGGCAGCTCTTGCAGCCAGCACAGAGTGAAAAGTTTGTTGCCGGATGCAGCCCTGCTGTAACCCAACGTGCTGGCGCTGCTGAAGGCACTGGGCGTCACAACCACCCTCCTGTCACCACCTGAATGCTACCAGGCCTGTGGCTCCATCAGTATCCCAATCAAGCGTTTACGTGTTTCCATCATGTTCTCGAGACTTGACTTTTTGGTTGTTTGCTGCTGATTACCTCTCGTTACAATTAATGGCTCGATTCATAGAATCCCAGAACCATTATGGTGGGCAAAGACCCCTAAGACCACCAAGTCCCATCGTCCACCCCCCCCACCAGCTGCCCACTGCCCGCAGCCCCTCAGTGCAACATCCCCATGGTTCTTGAACACCTCCAGGGACAGTGACTCCCCCAGCTCCACAGGCAGCCTGTGCCAGTGCCCGACCGCTCTTTGTGCAAAGATGTTCTTCCCAGTATCCAATGGGGACCTCCCCTGGCATAACTTGAGTCCGTTCCCTCTCATCCCATTGCTGTTACCTGAGAGAAGAGGCCAACCCCCACCTCACTACAACCTTCTTTCAGCGAGTTATAGGGAATGAGGAGGGCTCCCCCGAGCCTCCTCCGGACTGAACAGTCCCACTTGCCTCTCCTCACGACTGTGCTCCAGGCCCACCACCAGTTCCGCTGCCCTTCCACAGGCACATTCCAGGGCCTCGAGGTCGAGATAGTATTTGAGGCACGGCCTCACCGGAGCTGGCTACAGGGGGATGATCACCTCCGTGCTCCTGCTGGCTGCAAGTCAGGATGCCATTTGCCCTCTTGGCCACCTGGCTGCCTCACGTTCAGCTGGCTGTCAACTTCCACCACCAGATCGTTTTCCTGCACTCAGCTTGCCCCAGGCCTGTGGTGCTGCATAGGGGTGTTGTGACTGATGTACAGGACCCGGCACTTGGTCTTGTTGGACATCTTCCAATTGGCCTCAGTCCAGTGATCCAGCCTATCCAGATCCCTCTGTAGGGCCTTCTTGCCCTCAAGCTGATCAACGCCTCCTCCCAACTTGGTGTCACCCACAGACTTACTGAGTGTGCTCTCAATCCCCTCATCCAGATCATCAATAAAGATATCAAACAGGGCTACCCTCAATACTGACTCCTGTGGACTCTAATTTCTAGTATTATGCCGTGGTGTTAGATGGGACTGCTGATGCTACAGATAGTGCTCAACTTACCATTTGCTTTAGAGGTGTAGATAAAGAATGTAATGTCACGGAAGAAATGGCTTCTTTGGGTACTATGAGAGGTACAATTAAACCTCTTGTGTTGCTCAAATATCTGCTGATAAAATAATAGTGGACCCCTATGAAGTACTGTCTGCTGTAAATCTTCTGGGGTTGTCTACTGAAATTCCAGAATGATCCAAAGCAGCTGAAATGGTTTGAATACCTCTAAAGACAGAAGCTAAGCCTGCAAGTCAAACGCAGTACCTCATAAGAATGGAAGATAGGAGAGGAACTCAGCCACTGATTGTTAAGTTTGTGACTAAAGGGCTATTACAAGATTGCTGTTCACGATGCAGTACTGCACTTCTGCCAGTCAGAAAGCCTCACTCCAGAGATTATTAGTTTTTTCAGGATTGAAGGGGTATAGGTCAAATTGTGATGGAAATATGTCCCATTATGGAAAACCCACATATCCTCCTGACAACTATTAAAGAGAAGGATAAACACTGTACAGTTTTAAATTGGAAGGATGTTTTCTTTTGCATCCCATTGGACACTGCAAGCCAGACTTTGTTTGCACTGGAGTGTGAAAACCCCAAAGCTGTAATGAAAACACAGTTGTGTTGAACTGTGCTCCCCTATGGCTTTAAGAATATCACATTTGGGAATCAGCTTGCTAAGGAACTGAAGGTGTATGGTAACTGTTGAGTCAGGGCCTGAACAACTGATTGAGCACCTGGGGAAAGGACCAGGTCAGCTCTGGGAACACAGGTGAAGGCAAATCAGCTGTGTGACCGGAAGGGATGGAACCTGGCTGCACCTCTCCTAGACCCCATTTAAGGGCTGACTGGTACTAGAGGAAGATCTCTTCCTGGAGGTCTCTCCTTGGTGAAGCTTTCCCTTACGAACCTAAAATCTGATATGGGTGAGTCTTTTTCCATTCATTTATACCATCACTTTACTGTGCTTGTTCTCTTGTCATGGCACCTTTGTTGTAATTCCTTTTCCTTTGTATTGAGCTGTCCTGTTGCTACATATAGATAACATACATCCAGAGAAATTTCCAGGACTGAAAGTAAACCTGACCTTAAAGGCACTTAATTTTTAAGAACTTAGTGGAAAACATAGTGTAAGTGGTTAGAAGGGCAGTTCTTAGTTATAAAACTTCTGGTATACAGCTTGGCTGTTTAGTAATATAAACACCTCTGTAAAAATTCATTAAAAGCTTAGGAGGAATGTTTATGGAGCACTGAAGAAAGTTGCAGCTAGTAAGTGCAGAGATACTCCTATCTATTCCAGACATTGCCCATTGTATGTATAGCTGCTCTCAGAAAGATGATGGCTTTAACACATTCTTTTGTGTTCTGAAATCTTCCTAGCTTATGAACACAGACTCTCTTACTTAATATCTTCACGAGTTTATAAAAGACTGGTAACATCTTTGTGAAGGTAAAACAAAACATGGCTTCCATGGAATGATTAGACCTTGTGAACCTAATGAGGTTCAATAAAGCAAAGTGCAAGGCTTTGCACATTGGTCAAGGTAATCCCAGATATGTATATAAGCTAGGAGAGCGTGTTGTGAGTAACCCTGCTGAGAAGGGCTTAGGGGTCCTGGTTGATGGAAAACTAAACATGAGCCAGCAGTGTGTGCTTGCAGCTTGGAAGGTCAATGGCATCTTGGGTTCCGTAAGAAGAGGGGTAGCCAGCAGAGTGCAGGAGGTGATCGTCCCTCTCTACTCTGCTCATGAGGCCCCAGCTAGAGTACTGCATCCTACGGAGAGCTCCGCTGAACTGCAGCTGTACAGGTCAGTGAGACATTGCTGAAAACCTGCAGCAACTTGCAGGTCAATGAGACTTCACTGGATATATGGTGGTGACTATCCCTGCTTTATGATTTGCTCACTAGTATTCCTCTCTTTGCTATTGCTAACTTCCCAACGTTACCCGCATACCTTAACTGCTTAGAATTTGTAATAAATCGATTGGCAATATCTTGTCTTCATTTACTGCCTTAATCTTGCTCTGGGTGTATATATATACATATATAGTAATAACTATATATACATATATAGTAACTGGTGCGAAAAACCTGGAAAAGAGAAGGCTGTGAGGGGACCTTGTTGTGGCCTTTCAATATTTAAAGGGAATTTAAAAAAAATGAGGGAAATCAACTTCTTACACAGGTAGATAGTAATAAGACAAGGGGGAATGGTTTTAAACTAAGGAAAGTGTGATTTAGATTAGATGTTGGGGGGAACTTTTTTACTGAGGGAATGTGGAACAGATTGCCCAGAGGGTTTGTGGATGCCCTATCCCTTGAGATGCTTAAGGCCAGGTTGGGTGGGCCCCTGGGCAATCTGATCTGAATCTTAATCTAGCAGATCCTACCTGTGGAGGGAATTTGGACTTTATGATCTTTGAGATCCCTTCCAACCCAAGACATTCTATAATTTATGAATATATACTTAAGAAATCTGTGTTTTAATCTATGAGACCATGCCCATATTAGCATTGTTAACTGAACTGTGTGCCTGTGGGCAAGAGTAATGGAGATACTACTTTGTCTGCAGCTTAGGAACCCAGTTCCATCCTTAAGAGATCATTGTGATGTAAAAAATAAGGGAAAAATAAGCTGGTGACCATCCAACCTCAGGTGGTAGCTGCTCAATACAGAAGTTTTTTTTAACCTTTTTATACTTCTCACTCTTTTTTTTTTTTTTTTTCCCCCTGTGTGATGTATGGCTGACTCCAGCCTCTGACCCCTGAAGGGCCAAGTGAGCTCATCCCTTTTTAAATTCTGCTTCCAGTCTACTTGCTCATGGATCTGCCCTGAATGCCTGGTTCTTGCTTCCCAGCTCATCAGCAGTCTGTCATCTTTTATTTCACAAAACTTTTCTCCAAAAACCCAGATATGTTGTGTCACACGAACTGTTGTTACCAACCTTGTTAGGGTTATAAACTCAGCATCAAAGCTCAGAGAAGTTAGACTGAAGCTTAAGATTTTTGAATTGGTATGTTTTCCTCATTCTGTTTTCTAAACTTTTAAGTTAAAAATACTGCCATATATATTTTTACATTAACAATATATCATGTTGACATGCCGTAAATTTTCAGATTCATAAGTTAAAACTGTATCTTCACAGTGGCTGCTTTCTATCTCAGAGTCGTAAAGACAGAAAAAACACATTTTTAAAATCTCAATTATAAATTATTCCACAGCTGCAGCATAAATATTATATACATCTCCACCTATTGTATATGTAGACCCAAGACATAGGCAAATTTTCCCTTATGTTTCTTCAGAACTGTCCTGAAAACACATCTCATTTTATGATATTCTCAAGTACTATACTATGTCTGTGTTAGGATATAAAAAAGATTACTGGATACATATGGGCAAAAGAGATGAGAAATCTGTCTTATTGCTATGATTGTCACTATTAATGTTCCTGAGACTACTAGCTTTCTGTTAATTATGCATGCACTATCTAGGATGTTATGAAAGTCAGACCAGGTTTGCTGAAACAGTAAGTAGAGTTGCAACAAACTCAAGCTGATTTTAACACTGAATTAATAAGAGGTTGTCTCTTATAACAGATGGGACATCTAAGGTTGTATTGATTTAGGAAAAGCTCACTTGAAAAGAAAAATCAGAGTGTTGTTAACTGATATTAATCAGATGGTGGTGGCCTTTTCAAAAAATTTTTCATTAGATGGTTTTGTTACCATATTCCAAATCAGGATAGAGTGCATCACGCCCAAGAGTATACTTGCAGAAACTTTCAGAAAACTGATGGTTCCTCTGTAAGGCTAATTTCCACAAAAGACAATGGGTAAATCTCAGTTTTGTTGCACATTTTCCATGAATCATTTTTGATTTTTGGGACAGCATGTCAAATATTACTAATGGAGCAGTAAACGGACAGTGAAATGCTGCACTCATGAGAGAGAGCCAAATGTATTCAAGTAAAATTGAGTATTTTAAGCTGGTTTAAGTTACTAAAGTTACTCCACGCTTTTAATTTATGGCAGCACTGATATGGAAAGATGACTGCAGCCATTATGCTTTGGATTCCACCGTTCTGTTGTAGCTCTGGAAGGGTCTCAGTGTAGTTCAAAGTCTTGTCTCAATTTGTCTTAAATTGTTTGTTGTACTGGTTATGAAGCAGCCATATGACTACAGTCAAACCAAATGAAGGTTATTTCTGACTACAGGCCTTGTTCACTGCTACTTATCTTTGGACTCTTTGAACTTAGTTGAACTTGTTTTACTAAATCATTTAAATGTTTAATGTTTGGTCTGATGCTCACCAGTGACATATACAGTAGTACTTCATTGTGTCACGTATGACAGGTCCAGCCAACAATGGCCACGGAAATGCAGAATGATGTGGGTTGGAGGGGATATTAAAGATTATCTACATTTAACTCTCTGTCATTGAGAGGGTAGATCTACTAGATCAGGCTGTCCAGTCTGGCTTTGAACACCTGCAGGCATAGGGCATCCACAATTTTTCTGGGCAGCCAGAGATTTCAGTGCTTCACCAACCTCTGAGTAAAAAAATTTCCTCAGAACAACTAATCTAAATCTCCCCTTATATGGGAACTGTTGAGTCATGGCCTGAACCACTGAATGATCACCTGAGGCAAGGACTAGTCAGCCCTGGGAGCACAGGTGAAGGCAATTCATCTATGTGACCGGAAGGGGTGGAATCTGGCTCCACTTCTCCCAGACCCCCATTTAAGGGCTGATTACCATGGTGGAAGGATCTATTCCTGGAGATAACTCTCATTGGAGTTTTCCACTGAGAGCCTAGATCCTTGGATATGGGTAAGCATTTCTTCCTTCATTTCTTTTTCACTATGAAAGTCTTTCCAACTATAACACATGTGAAATACCATCCTAATCACGCTAGTCTTCCCACTGTACACCCTTTTCTTAGTTTTAAACCATTCTTCCTTGTCCTGATGTTATGAGACCATATAAAACTCAATCTCTTCCCTGTTTGTAAAGTTCCCTCAAGTACTGCAAGGTCACAATAACGATTCCCAAAGTCTTCCCTTCTCCAGTCTGAACAAGTCCAGGTCCCTCAACCTTTCTTCATAGGAGAGGTACGTTCTGAAAGGCAGCCT